GCAGCAGCAGCAGCAGCAGCAGCAGCAGTTGCTCAGCATCATCACCATGCAGTGTGATGTGGATTTTGGATCTGGAGGAAATCAAACTCACTGACCACTATGAGCGACTCAGCCAATTATACTGTATGGATTAATGCATGTAGACATGATCAAAACAATGTGTTCAAACTGACCGCGTGAATGTAAACAAGCAGTGTGACGTACAGGGCTGGTTGGTGCCAGGCGGGCTGGTCAGAGTGGCTCAGAATCTGTTGACCTCTCAGAATTTCTCTGCAGAATTACCTCTCAGTGTTTTCAGGGAATCGTCCAAGAAAAGGAAAATATCCGTAGAGCAGCAGTTCTCAGTGCTAAGAACATGTTGCTGATGCCAGAGTAGAGACTGAAAAACACCTTCACAGCCCAGTTATGCAATCAATTTAATTAAATGGCCATCGTGTCAAACTTTGGGTATAAATTCTTGGGAATATTTTCCAGAGTCTCCTGAAGATGTGCTCGGTTTTACATAGAGCTCTGTTGGTAGAGGTGTGCAGCAGCTGTCTTTATGAATAAGTAAGGTGGTATGATCTAATACAGCTGGAGAACCTTATTGGTAATACAACGCTGCAGATGAAAACTAAACCCTGACAACAAATGCCTTTTACCATCCTGCGAAAATAACAGTAACTGCTGTGACGAGTGCTTGTCATCAGTGATGTTAGTCCTAGATCAGGGGTCACCAACGTGGTGCCCGGGGGCATCTGGTAGGAACCATGGACCTCCTAAGGTGCCTGTGGGGTGGGTTCTAAAAATGAAACTAGTCAACAAGAGGGTTACTCTGCTTTTGGAATCAGTTCCACTTGCAGTGATATTCAAATGGGCGCAGTGACGATGGTAAGAAGAGTGTCTACTATTGTATGTCCCAGAACTCATTATTATTACATTGTTTGGGAAGTCTGTATCAGACAAGTAGCTCTTCGTATTACTAAGTGCCCTTGAAGTCGTTCTCGGTTTCAAAAAGGTTGATGACCCCTGTCCTGTCCTGGAGTGTAGTGACCAAGCTGTCAGAAGAAGAATAAATAATAACAAAATAGTCATAATGATCTCAGTAGATACGGACAGGAAAGATCATATAAAAATAAATGAAAATATGTGCAAAAATGCATTGTAGGCAAGACGGACAGGGTGTCAATATGTGCAAAAATGCATTGTAGGCAAAGAAAAGGCTTGAAGTGGTGATTCAGATTGACATGGACCTCACGTTACACCAGATTACTGCTAACATCCCCCACATCTCTCCTCAGGTCCTCTCACTAAACTGTCCTCATCACCAGTTGGTTCTGTAGTGGTCTGACCTAGACCAGTGTGGTTCTGAGGTTTCCCCCTCTGCTCTGTTACCCACCACCACCCACACCACCTCCATCCTCACACACGCACCCCCTCCTCCCTGAATGGGGGCGCTGGATCATTCCGCCTGTCACCGCTTGCCTCTTTGTTCAAAGTGATTTTGCTTCTCTCTCTCGGCGTTGCTGCTGGCGAGGAAGAGGTGAAAAAAGAGGAAGGAGAAGACGAAAGGACAAGAAGGAGGAGGAGAAAGAAGAAGAAGAAGAAGAGGAGGAGGAGGAGGAGGAGGGAGCACCTTGCTGTGCTGTGCGTGCGTTTGCATTTATTCCGATGCCACAGTGTGTGAGGATGAACAGCGCACAGGAGGCTGCTGCTGCTGCTGCTGCTGCTGACTGAACCCGAGGACTGTTGAAGTCCAGGACGCACACACGCGCACAGACTCTCCCTCTCTCTCTCTCTCCCTCTCCGTCTCTCTCTCTCACACACACACACTCGGGTCTCCACTGCAAAGTGCTGTTTCACCCTTCTTTCTTCTCTCCTCGTTTTGCCATCGCTCCGTCCTTTTGGGAATTTGGAACGCACCTGGCCAGAAGCGCAGAGCTGTCGCTCACATTCCAAAGGATTGCAGCATTCGGACGCTCCTCGCGCTGTCACACAAGGTAGGAATGAAAGCTAGAGAATCAATGCGATCTAATACATGCTGCATAAATGCAGTTGGTCATTTGGTCAGTGTGTCACATCTCACGTTACCGAGTGGTGAAACCAATCAGCTGCTGCCTTTCTTAATGAAACCACACTTTATTAAAAAAATAAATAAATGCATACAATTTAATCCTTAAGCGTCAAATGTAAAGTAACAAAAGTATTCACCGTGGTCCAATCACTGCATTCCTCAGCCCAGCTCCACCAAAATGATCCCCCGTTTGGGATATCGTTCATAATTCACAAGGTCAGAGCTTTTAATATTGAGCTATGTAGGGACATGCATAAATCATCAGCCTGAGAAGTAACCTTGTCCCAGCGTCCTTTACAACTCAGCTGATCTCGTCTTATTTTCCTGGGAACTTTGTCCTCTGATTCACACACAGCAGCCACTTCTTCCAGGTTCTCCTTCAATGGAGCAAGAACGGAACCAGAATCAGTCAGGGGCTGTGGTGATGCTTTCTGCTGATGGCTGTGATTGGAGAGGCAGGTCTAAACACTTGAACAGGTGTTTGGGAAATCTATTATGGAAATGAGGACACTCTCGGGAACATGCTTGAATATCTGCCAACATCAGATTTTTATCTCAGAGCTGTCACCTGGACGTGACATTTTGGGTGAACTCCAGCTAGAAAACATAGAGCTGTGGAGGTCTGGAGCTGATGATATGAATAGATAGGAGGTCATTAAAAATATTCTGAAGGAATGCAGTAGCTGAATGGAACAAGTTACACCGTGCTTTGGAAATGCTTAAAATATTTTTACAAGTGCAATGCAACATGCCACAATGGAACATATATCATTTGACATTTAAGGGGAGCTATAGCCTTCATATATGAATCACTCACAATTAGTCTGTGTTGCGTTGAGCCTGAGATGTGAATGATATCCTGAGCGCTGCATACAGCGTCGTCTCTGACTTCCTGCTAACGACGGTCCTTGTAGACATTCACCAACGTTTTCTTCTAAAGCTGACACTTTTATTCCGTTCACCACAGCGTCCTTTGTCTGCCCTGCTACTGTCACAAAAAAGTGTCATGCAGATAAAAAGGACTGTTGTCGTCAACTGTCTGCTCTGTAAACACTGGCTGGCATGTACAAAGAGAGTGGAGACAAAAACAACAGTTTGGGTCACCTGACAAACGAGCTGTATTGTGTGAGAATACGACATCGCCGCCTGCAGCCTCCACCAACACTGTTTCTGTTCCCATTCACCACAGCAGTCTGGGGGAAGAAGTTGAAGTCTTTTCTTCTTTGGCCTTGTTAGAGCATCCACCACCAGCTGTGTGTGTCAGTGCCATAAAGCAGGACAAGGTTAACAAGGCAGCCGCACATTAGAAACAGGCTGGAGCCGAGGAAGGAGAGAATGTCGTGTGTGAGATAACTGAGAAGTGGAAGTGCTCGGAGGATGAGGAGCGAGGATGGGGGCGGGGAGGCGGGGGGCTGAAAGTTTGCAGCATGCATTTTTCATTAGCGTCTGAGATGACATATTCAACCACACGTGTTTATGCACTTGTCTGCTCGTGTAGCACTGTGTGTAAGGATGACAGTCTTTCTAGGCAGAGGGCTGGGAAGAACAAACAGGTCTGTTTGTAGAACAGAGGTTCTGCAGCTCACTGTGTTTTTCTACCCAATCTCTGAACAGCCTGCGTTTTAAGAGGGTCACCAATTCTTTCCCAACATTCCTCAGCAACAACTGGTCAATCCAAATAAATGGTCCAGTCTAGGTACAGTACAGTGGAAGCAACGTTTCCTCCTGTTGGTGTTAACATTCTGCCTTCTTGATTCTTTCCAGCTCCTAGTCCTACGTGGTTTTTTTCAAACACACTTACCGCAGCGGTATTGTTAAATCCTTGGTATTATTAGTGGAAAAACTAAAAGAATAGACAAGCAGAAATCAGGCCGGCAATCTCTGTCTGTTTGATGGTGAAAAAATCTCCAAAATATACAATGAACTACATCTACACCTTTTCTCCTCCCTCTCTCTCCTCTCTGTGTCAACTATGTCTGTCTCTGGCTGCGTGTGTCCATCACAGACAGTCTGTCCAAATGGCAAAATATTTGTGGACTATTATTTGGACCGTATCACTTGCGTAAAAACATTTGATTTGGCCCACACATGGCGTGGGATGATGACATTTGGGGCTGTCCGTCGCTGGTTGGCAGATCTTGCTCAGAAGCTGGCTGCAGCATCGCCACGTGTCAGCCAGAAGTAGAATAAGAAGAATGTGTGAATATCCGCCGTTTGAAGTGGCGTCTAGATTACACTCTGCTGACAGCACCGCACATTAGCCAGGAACGCTCATAAATGCATCAGTGCATTATGGACACATTTTCGTCATCCTAGATTACAGAGTGTTAGAGCTGCATGCCATCAGAGGTGGGCTGTGGATGGAGCCTGTTTAGAATTACATGGTCAGACTTAACAAACTGATCGGTCAGTTCTCTGGCCAATCAAGGCCAACGTTCCTTTTCTCTTCCTGGTCTGGGTCCTGAAAGCCTGACTGAGCACAGGTCAACAATCATGGGACTAAGGGTGAACTATAGAGGTGTTTTGTTTTTTCACTTTAAGGATATGCAGGCATATTAGCATAATTCACGTTAAATAATTCTTGGAATATTCAATAATACATTGAGGACATTTGCAGCTACACGGTCTGGGTTTTGATTCCGGTTGTGGCCTGTTGTATCTGTGCGCCGTACACTTAACCCCAGATTCCTCCTGGTGCCCAGCCACAGGAGACTACAGTCTGTTTCCTCCCAGATCTGGTCCTAAGCCTGGATAACGGCTCCGAGTTGTGTCAGGAAGGGCATCCGGTGTAAGGAATTGTGCCAGATCACACGTGCGGATTATCTGCTCCCTGCAGAAGGGCACAGCCAAAAGTGCTTTATCCATTTTTGAGACATCGCAGCACCTTTGGGTCTCTGTCTCTCTCCTGTTTTCCATCAGTGTGTGATATTTTATTCACTATTTGATTAATCAATCAGTCTTCATAACGGCCACTGTGGTCAGTCCCAAAATAAAAATAACCATTTTTGGTAAATGTTATGAGTCACTGTTGTCAGTTAAGTCCTGCTGATCACAACTGTGCTCCTTTCTCCCCAGTTTACTGAAATGATTTAGTTTGAAAAGCCTGGCTGTCAGTGGAGTTTCAGGACAAGCCCAAGGTAATTCTCAGCCCTGGGTTTAGTATTGGTCCCTGTGGTATGAAAGAACCCATTCTAATGTGTCATTTAGGTGATTATAGGACATATTCCCCCTCACACCGTGTTAATAGCTAAAAGAATGGTACTATATAAATGCAAATCAGTACCAGCTCCTTGCTTATGGAGGCCCAGGCTCAGCTCCACCGAGGACAGAGGCTCAGCCTTGTGTTTGCACTGAAAATGTGGCCTCGCTGCTGTGCACTCCAGTACAGTATTTCTTTTCCTTTTTTGTTTTTTGCTGTGGCCGTGGATTTATTAGGTTCCAATTGTGATTCATAAACAGCAGATTCAAGTGTGAACTCGACTGTAAACTGAAGCTGACGTTTTACGATCTTTCTGTTGTCAGTTTACAGCCACGAGCGGGAAATGAGCTCTAGACTAACAATGACTTCACACTGACTGGAGCAAAAACTGTCCACCGTTTCAGCACCGGACAGTTCTCTCTTTCAAACTTCAGAGCCCAATGAGCCGACAACAACAATTGGGGAAGGGGAAAAGAGCAGTAGGCAGTGTTGTGGTTCCAGCATTAGTAACGATGTAACGGTGAATCCATTTTCTGCCTCAGTGTCCGTCTCTCTTCCTTTCCCCCTAAATATATTCCACAGAGCCTTTCTCCCAAACCCCTAAAAGGGATTGGGCCAATCAAACCAATCATCAATCATCTTCAGTGTTTGGACTGGGCGGGACTAAAGCCCTCCAGACCAATCATTAGAGGCGTAGATGAGACCACAGCTGAACAGCTCACCCACACAAAGAGAAAGGGTCCCTCTCTTTGTCTTTGGCCAGCAGAGGTCTCCTTAATGGCACCTGCCAGCCCACAAATGTTTGTCTTAGGAATAATCTCTTCCAGGCAGCGCTGGAGATGATGCAGTCTGTGCACTTCAGATTACAACAATAACTCACATGGAAATATTACATCTTTAAGGAGAACACTTCTTGGATGATGTCCTACAGTGTGTCTGTGTTTCTTTTTTTTATTGTTACTGTTCCTAATTGGAGCCATGACGTGTCAGAAAATAACTTTTTGCTTCAGGAAGATGAAGATGGAAATTGTATTTAGGGCAAAGATGGATTTAGCATTAACTGGTTTTATATATGGCTGAGGATATTGTCTTATTTAGGCTGTAAGCATGACAAATGCTGTTGTCTAATCTAAACAGTCTGTTATTAGGTTGACAAATGCTGGTTCACCACCGTCATATTAAGAAGTTCTTAATATGATGTAATGGATTTATAGGTCAGGGTGATATACATAAATGCAGTTAAAATGCCCTGGTCCCTGGTTCTGATTGTACTGGCACAAACATTATTGTGTTGAATAAATCTGTTCCTGGGATTCCTCCAAACGTTTTTTTTTTTTTTTTCACCCCATAAGAATAGATAAACCATTTAGTTTCAGGAACCAGCAATTTGCAGTTGGATAGAAGAAATACACTTCATGAATATAATGTCTGAGCCAGCGCTTGAACACAGCAGGACAGGATGAGACGGAGCTGCTCTGGCATGAATGTTGAGTTTCCTCCAGTGAGGTATGGAGCGATGTACACGTTCTACCATATCTGCGTCTTGTTTTGATTCAAACTCCTCAACCGTCATTTCATTTCTTTTTAGTTTCAAGACTGTGTTACAGACTTGTGGACCTTGACCTAACAACAGTCTCCCAGGGCTGACTGACTGTGAGTGGCTGTGGGCTGGTCTTGGCCTTTCTGCTTTTTCATTGATTTTAATGATCACTACAATGATTCAATGC